GAAGTGAAGGGAGGGGGGGGAGAAGAAAGGGCGGAGCGGCGAAGAGAAGCGATATGTATCGCGTTACATATGCTAGGTTACAATTAGTTGGATTATTATTGGGTTTCTTTTGGAAAACGTCTTTTCGTACCCGGTGACCCAATACCCGTTCTTGAATTGGTTCCTCGGTGGGCTCCTCGGAGACTTATCCTATCGCTTTCTTATGAAATCGGCGTGGGTGCCGATGGGTAGATATGGGAGTCCATTCTAGCCGTCCATTAATCGTGTTTCTCTGTGGGAGACGCAAAGCCACCGCCCCGTGAGTCGTCGCTTGCTCGTGACTGGGACTCCGAGCGGGTCCCACGTAGCTCTGTCCAATAGCCATGGAGGAAAAGCGAGACGACGATAGCGGAGAGCGCGAGCGGGAGACGCCAGGAGTCGATCTCGGCCGTCCATTTGTCTCATCTGTGGGCCGATCGGGGTTGTGTTTCTCGTCGTGACGGACGCGGATACACATCTGCCTTCGCGGCGGAGCCAGGTGGGTCCCACGGAATTCTACCAATAGTTAGGAAGCAAGACGAGTGCGTAATTTCGAAGGAGTAGACACGATGGGGAGTGGGTCCCACAGAACTCGAACGAGTATGTTTTGGTCGTTCACAGTTTGCGGATGCCGAGAGCCCCATCTCAGCCGTCCATCAGGGCTGACCCACTTCACGTTGGGAAGGACGCAAAGGTAAAGATGGAATATTTCTATTATCGTAATTAGTTTAGAATTTAGAAAATAAATAACGTTTAATTAATTTTTCACTCAAATAAAAAAAATACACATTACTTCATCAAACAAGTACAAAAAAATCACCCATTTAAGTCAGAGTGACCATATTTTTCTTTCTATAAAACATGCTCAGTAGATAGTCATCAAAATTTCTTAAAGGAAAAAAATATACTTTTAATAACATATTAAGTATTTGGATCAACCTTTAAGAGTCAAATTCTATTTATAGGAGTTGAATTCCTTCCAATTTGGCACCTCAAATAAGCACATCCTCTGGACAATCAAATTTAATGATGATGTTGGACAAGCTGAGCTAGGAAACTTTAGCAGGTCCATCCCAAAGAGTCCTGCATTCTGCTTTGTAGCTGATGAACATTATTTCCCTCCAAGAGAGTGATACCTTATGGATCAACAATATGATCCTAATCCGAGACATTTATATGATCCTACATTGAAGAGAGCCTCGTTTAGGTCCTCCAAAGTCACCAGAGTGCAATGGCAATAGTAGTTCGGTCATACCAGAAGAAGAAGCTTTCCAGCTGAGAACCCTCATTTCCCATGGCACCAGTTCTCAAAATAGAGGAAAGCAACGGCTATGCTTTTGTAGTAAGCTCCTCACCTTCATCATCGCACAAGCCTTCCTCTCCATGATGTGTCGTCATCTGCATGTGCGGATCTTCCTGCAAAGTTCGGATACCATGATTGAGGAATTACTGGTAGAGATAAAACTTAGTGCCTAAAGGATTATCAAGTCAATCGATACATGTTCACAGGCCACACGCCAAAGTCACAATATATGGCTAGAACAAATTTTGATTCATACAAACCAAACACAAGCCTATTTTGACCATCATGATATATTACACGATAATCGTGCCATGTCATGTGCCACGAAATGACAATCCATGTTTAATGGTGTCCATACATGCCAACCAACATAAAACATCTTTTAAAAAAAATTTATCGCTGCGTTAGTGCCAAAAACATGCCAACATGGCACGAAATGACGATACTGTGCATCTCAAAAACAAATATTGGTAGTACATTTCGATGATAACTTAACTAATATAAAGCATCTCAAGGATAAAACTTGATGATAACACTTGGATAATTTCTTTTTTGTAACTATAACAAGCATACCCACTTAAACATTAAACATGTCATTTGATAATCTATGGTTTGTGAGGTTCTTCCGATATTAAAGTTTAGTTTCATTTGCTGGAGGAATGGCTTCAGCTTTCTGGTGCTAATTGGATTTAAAATCACATACCTAAACAATAAAACCCACTCCAACTGGGTTTAATTAGTCATATACTTTGTACTTGGTATCAATCTTGGTGTAGATGTGGGGCCTGTAATGCTGAATAGAGTTGCAAATCGACCAGCTCCCATTTGTCTGTTACTTGTTCTTTGAATTCCTTTCAAAAGGTCTAAATGCTGCCAGAACCACAGCTATCTTACTTGTAAGAAAGCCTGCAACCCCAATGAAGAGCTCAGTTGGTGACAATGCTATGGTTGTTCCTCCTATCCGATACTTCAATACAGTGGAACCAAGGGCGATGACCAATGCCAAAGTTAACCATTGCCTCTTAAAACCTCCAGAGGCCTGCAAGAAGTTCTCACCATTCTCAGACTGATTTCCTGGTGCAGACAATCCATCGACCGACCTTTGCAACAGCAAAAGGTACAAGAATCCACCAATTCCACCAGCTAAGAATGCATAAGCAGCTTTCTCATTGAAAGAGAAATTTAAAATCGATGAACCACTTGAAATAAGAATGAGGTCATAAACTAGCAATGAGAACTTAAGATCTGCATACTCCCTCATGCTATCCTCCTTTGTTGTTTGTTTATTCAGCAATAGGGTTTGTGACAACGACTGCATATTTAGTGAGGTTGTAAAAGAAATCCTAGATAACTCGGTACTACAGAATGGCCTAAGCTCAACAATGGATATCCCCCCTTCTCCAAGAAGTAGATTATTTGCTTCAAATTTATATTGCACACAATCAAACTGACTTTCATCTCCACTTTCAGTAAATGGAGATAAATATACTGGCCCACTGATCACTGTCAAGCTTACACCATCAAGCCTCCAAGAACCTGACCTTGAAGATGAAAGATCCAGACCACATCAAACTTCATTCAAGTCATAGATAATAGAACTTTGCTACTCACAGCTAATGGATTCATTTTATGAAGTGTGACAAAAGGTTTGCTAGTGATATGATAGTATTAGAAAGTAGATTCTGGACATACCTGATTCAAGACCAATCCAAAATGCTTCAATTTTTCCTAACTTGGAGCCCTTGAAGGTGACAATATCAACTGAACCTCTTTGAAAGTGAACAGATTCATTGGAATCCATGTCCTTCCCTTGCATAGAGCGGTCTAACGTAACTGCAGATAGCCTCTGTAGTAATGCATCACCATTTACATCGATCAAGCAAAGCAGTATGGCGGCATTTACGTCCCTCAAACAAGAGCCAAAATCCTTACTTGTGCACAGCTCAACCATGTAGTAAGAACTAGACATGTCCAACTCCAGGGAAGAAAGTATGTCTTCAGGAACATATTTAGTCTGCAATTTTACCGTGGTTGTTTGTAAAAGACGAGAAGGATTTGCAAAATCCTGAAAATCTGAAGCCAACTGATCAATGTTTGCAAATTCTATAGACGATAAACAAAAGGACCTACCAGAGAACTAATGAAACTACGTAACAAGCAAAATTTGTGAACGAGGCATGTGGAAAACACAAAAGATAAATTAAAGGTAAAAATAAAAACTGAGAAAGATAAAGAGACTGAGTAGGTTTTGTTCTAATAGATGCGAAGATTGCAAAAGATACAAATTAACACTACCCACCAGTTTTGGAGAATGCGAGATCATTTACATAGGACTTTGAAATTTTCACTGGCAAGAAGGCATTCCATTTCTAAAATACATACCCAAGTACCAAATGAGCAATGAGTACTAGCCGTCTCAACCAAGTAGTGAATACTTCATCTGGACTTAAAGCAACAATTTTGACTTGCATCAGATTGGATAGATCAAGTATAATTTTTGACATGCAAATTTATGCACAATTTCTGAAGGACAGCAATGAAGAATAGAAGAGAACAATAATGGATGTCGATCCCAAATTAGTTGATAGGAAAAAAATTATAAACATGGTGCAGCTTTAATAAATTTGGTGTGCTTATCTGCATGCAGGAACCTATGATTTATTTCAACTCTAAGACACTTTCTAAGACAAAATGCCCTCAATTTAAACAGTGTAAACCTATGATTTATTTCAACTCTAGCATGTTGTTGCACCTGACTCTCCACACAATTTAATCAAGATAACTATGAATAATTCTCCTTTTAACATAACAATCATAAAGTATCTATCTAAACAGCAGCTCCAACACTTGCGATAAGGTAAGTTCAAGTAAGTCCATTAGAATTATGTTTGCTTTTTAACTCATATGAAAAACGTTTGCACCAAAGATAATTGAAATCCATGATACATATCCTCAAATATGCAGTTTTTACATAATCCATATCCTCAAATATGCTGTTTTTACATAATCATCATCCTTGTCACACTCTGACCTATATCAAAAGTGAGGAAGTAAAGCTTTTCAAACTTATCACTTAGATGAACTCTACCATCAATCACCCTTCTCCCTGGATCATCTCGTTAGTAGAACTACCAATGGGGCTTGCCCAGAGGAGACCACCTACTGGCCATTTCGGTTAAGAATTTGACTCTACCACACACCGCCGATGTGAGTTCAGCAAGAAAGCTAAACTATGAATTATGAAAACTACACTAGTGATAAAATAAAAAATTTCCAACATATAGTAGTATTGGACAATAGTTAAATGCCTTGAACTGGAGCTTGTTTTGATCGTGTAGTGAAATGAGAAAAATGCATATGCTTGTTGACTCCCCATTGTACTGGCAAAATGTGGAGCAATTTTGAGTCTTCTGATGTACAATTTCCAAAACGTCTCCTTGCAAAAGGATTAGCATGAGTGGAAGGAACGAGATGCTTTACAAGGAGTGCCTCCATTTCTACAATATCAAGACAACATCATTAATGACCCTCTTCAAGATGTTTTTGCTGATAACAAATTGATCACAAAGAAAAAAAATCTCATTCAAGTGAAAATCAACAATAAATACCAATGTGTGACATGGCATGCTGGCTTAACAAAGTTCAGGTGCAGAATTTCTTTCAGTGGATAGGCATGCTAGCTTTCAATCAATGGGCAAAGCCAGAGATGCAACACATATGACCAGTTAAAAAACATGAAACGGCATGGCTATAGGAATTTAAAATTCTATGAAAGGGTTTAGGGTTATGGTATGGTAATGTTTTTTGGCATTGTTTTGAAAGTCAATATGGCAGATAAATGATCACAGATTATAGGGTTTTGGAATAGTGATGGTTTCTGATATTTCTCTTATTCTAATCATTTGCCCAAACAAATAGTAATAAGGTGATATAGACTATGCATAAAAATATAGAAAATTATTCTGATGATCAATGCTTCCCTATATGCGGAGAATTGAATGTCCTTATTATCTAGCAGTCATATTGCAAAAACAAAAGGAGATAAGATTAATTGGTCTATCTTCCTACCAGTCACCCAGGAGACATTTTCAGTAACAATCAGACATATACAATTGCTAATTTCATACCTTCAAGCTTGATGTCATGCATATACATCCTTATTTCTCTTTTTTTTTAATGTTTATTATCCAAATTTAGATTTCAACCAACTACATAAACTTGTCTTGGTTCCATACTCTCCTAATGAAACTTCGTGCAGAGTGCAGACTCGATTATTTAATAGTGCAACTCTCAAACCGCAACCAGCACCGAAAAAATGAGATCTTGCTCCCAGACAACATTCCCTACCAAGAACACAATAAAACCTCGAGGACACACCAGAAAGAGGAACATGAAAATGAGGAAAAATCAGATGACCTAATCAACATATACAACTTTTCTGGAACCCAATAAACGATCGAATCATCCAATTGAGAAGCCCGTTTCCGATCAAACGTCCGTCAAGGTTTGATGCAAGAGATTTCGTCTACTTACTCGCCGAGAAGTCCTCGTCGCTTCCTTCTCTCCTCTCTCTCTCTCTCTCTCTCTCTCTCTTCTTGGCGGACAAAGCTCGAATAAGAAAAATATCCCGTTCTCCGGTCGGAAGAGAGCACATTTAACGATATGTATTTGGGCCACATTTCAGCCCAAATAGATTTGGGCATTTGAAGGCAGCCACTTGGGCTTGTTTGGGTCGACTCAAACGGCTTCGATCGATTTGTAGCCCCCAAACCCAACCCAATCTATCAATTGCGCACCCAAACAAGGCTTGGGATTTGTGCTAAGATAAATAATGACGTCCACAGGATGATGGTGATGGTATTGATGACGATCAGAAACTATTTCAGGCCCAAATTGTAACAATAATATGATATATATATATATATATAAGGAAAAATAATATAAAAAAAGATATGATATCCAAAAGCAATAAAACGTGGAATTGAAAATTACAGAATCATCTAAAGAGCAAGCGATCAACCTATTGTCAATTTTACTTTATTATTATTATTATTATTACTACTACTACATAATAATCTAAAGATATGATTAATTTATCTCGTTGATTCTAAATTATTGATAAAAAATATTTAAATCTAATTTAGTAATAATATATCCATCAGTCACTTTTAAAGGTTTAATATTCGGACGTTCAACATTATATATTGATAGGGATAAATCTGGTACTTTGTAGCTTCCCCGTTATGTAAGCAATTCTTAAGTAAATGTCTAAAAAACACATACTCTCTACGGTCACTAGCTCACGTCGTTTGACCCGACTTCCTAAAATAGGCCTATGATACCCACTTCTCACTAATCTCGCAGTTGAGAAAGAGACCTAACTCCGTATTAATAGTCGGCGGTATATTCTAACTTCACTAACCTTTCATTTCTAATGGATGACTAGAGGGCTACGTCCTTCTTGACCCAAAAAAATAAGGAAGACAGACCAGAGGCCTCATCTCAGCGGTCCCTAAGCATCGTACTTAGGGACACACACTAGCAAGCAACTTGTATTAAATGCCTTTGCCACACAGGATAAGGGAAGCCTTAACAAAGACTCATCTACTCCATATAATGCTCAAGCATAAAAGCTCAACCCTAGGCCAAGCTAAGATAGAAAAAAAAGACTATTTACTCTCTCACTACTAATATTATTATTTTTCTTCCTCTTTATTTTCCTAACTTAAGTATTGAAGGGATCATCGACATAGCCCAGAGACATACTAGAAGGATACCCAGAAGAGGGAACCAGTCAGTACATAAACCAAGCCACATCCCTCGAAGACTAAACCGCTCCGACTAACCATCTTTCCTTATAGATTCCTTCACCCTTTTCATAATGTCTGCTCTTCACATTAGTTAGGAGGAATCAGCAACCGTATTCTTGGCAGTAAATCAATCAGTCGTTTATATGTTAACATCTATACTCATATCTAGCATTACATGTGAGTCTTTCGTCCTTGCAGTGTTCATAGTGGAAACCATGACACATCTTCTCCACCATTGAGGAAGCTCCAGTCATGTCGAGGATCGTTCCTTTCCAGGTTACGTGTACGTCACACGAGGCCTCATCTTGTCCAGCGTTCTGATAGCTGACAGTAAGCCGTGCGTGTTGTTGCTATCTTCTCCATCTCAATCTCTACTGATGGACACGAAGATGTGGTAACACATGGTTTGACGGCAAGCCAAAGACGACGGCCACCCGCAGCAAAGTGGAGCGACCGAGTGCGAGCCATTACCAACTTGAGGACATGATCGAAACCACTACTTCTCGTGCGGTCCGCATCAGTACTCCTCTTTGCCTTGTATCTTCGCTTTGCATGCGTCGATGCGTTTCCTTTTGGTGGGTGTGGGAGTTGCCATGCTCGGACGAGTATGGCAGCTCGTGATTCGGGAAGAGCACGCATTGAGGTGCGATGAGAGACTGCTCTTTGTCTCACTTTCAGTGTTCCCCTCCCTCTTTTGCTGACCAACTTTCGGATAAGACTACTGCAAAGAAATACTCTCTCTCTCTCTCTATAATCCGAGAGAGAGAGAGAGAGAGAGAATCACTCATCCACATCTTTTGTAGAGACCAGCAGAAGTTAAAATCACAGGCTTGAAGAAAAATGGATTAAAGTCACTGAGGTTGGCTACTAAATTATGAGAATTTCCAATGATTGAGAAGACATTACATCCTTCTACATAGATGCCATGTAAACCTGACAAACTACATCACTTATTCATTCACATCTTTTGAAGAAATCAGCAGATGGTAAACCACAGGTTCCCTCGTAATGGACTGCTATCTTTCATGATGAGAAGTCCCAAAGATTACGAAGAAAGTGCAATATGTTAAACTGATAAGCTCCATCACACTGCTCAGTCACATATTTTATGAAGCTGACTAAGCCACAGGCATGAAGAGCACCTCGGAGATGTGGCTGCGGAGAGCAGCAGGTGAGCAGTGAGCAGCGTAATAGAAGCTCTTTGCCACCAGAAGGAATGTTTGCTTGGTGTGGTTGTTGAGGTCATCTGAAGTCTGCAGCACACACCGAGCCAGCTCTTGCATCTCTGCTTCTACTGCCTTGTCCTTGCAGCTGCTTGTGACAGCGCACTCCTCTGTGATGCTCTGAGAAGATGACAAACCACTCTTAGGAATTCATTGATAGCTGGAATGTCGATATCGGTGTTCTAAAATATCCATTAAATATGTATATTATAATTGAGAAGGAAAACGATAAAATATACCTCAGCGACAACCATCTGTCGTCGCCTTAGATTATGACAAAGGGAAGACAGTAGATGACAAAGCCGACTGTAATTAGGGTGAGTCACCGTTAACTCCGTCGAACTGAACCTCCCTGCACAGCTTTCCATGGTCCTGACTAGCAGTAATCCCGTCTCTTCCCTTCCGAATCTGTCAGACTCGTCGCTATGCCATGCCATCAGCCACTCCTTCCACTGAGAAAAGTATGATCAAAATTAAAAATATTCAAAAATTATTATTATTATTATTATTATTATTGGAATAGCGGAGAAGGATCGAGATATTACAGCTTGTTGTAAATGGTGGCGGACTAGCTGTTGTTGGAAGGCCGGCCGTGTATCAGCCGCCAGCTGCTCGATCAGCTGCCGGAGCAGACCCACCAACACTTCTCCCGCCGTCTTCCCTCCCATCCTGCGTTCAAATTCAGAAACATCACTCGCCATCTCCATGATCTTAAGAACTAATCACTTAAGCTGAGGCATAGACAATGGTCCGGAAGAAGATTCCTTCAGGATCTTAAGAAAGCAAGACAACATAAAGTGCACTGCAATTTGTTCCATTACTTACAGTCAAAGCCATCACTTTCCAGCTTATAGATATTCATGCACTTCAATACATTGATTTCAGATTAAAAGATCACACAACAATTGACCCACTTTGCCTACAGTAAGCTTATTTTGTCTTCCACTTCTTTTTGATTTCTGGTGAGCAGCAAAGATTCTACTTTTCCTTTGGGCCAGAGTGGCTTTAAATATCTAAAATGATATATATATATATATATATA